GCCTCGTCTGAGCTCGAGCCCGAAGATCGACAGCTCAGACCTGTCCACGTGCACGGGAACGTCAGTGCAGCTTGATAGTCCTGGAGCCAATCAGGTCACCGGACGATGGAGGTATACCAGCCTTGGCTCGGGTCCGAAACCCGACCGCCGTGATGCGTGGCTCGTCTTCCTCCCGCCACCGCTGCGACTCTTCTTTCTCTTCCCTGTCTTGCGCATGCTTCGAACAATGCTGCGTCTGCGTCAAATTAAGTTCAGTCAATTATTGTTATTTATTAACATTCGTGCCAGCTTCTTCTTCCTTGAGACTTCCAACTTCGTTAATGGCGCGCCCTTCGAATTTCGCTCTCCCCGTTTCAAGTTCCGTGCACTCCACCCGCTTTAAATTCCGCGCACTCCATCACAGAGTGGTGCGAGGTAACGCTGTTATTGAGCGCATAGCATCACGAGCAATAGTCTCCAACTGTGCCAACTGGGCCAAAGTTAACCGTTGAAATTGCGCCTGGTGTGATATCGTTGGCTGCAGAACTGTGCGGACGAGCTGTCGAGCTACATGTGTACGAGCTCCAGCTGCTTTCAATGCAATATGCGGCGAATCAGATGAAGTGTATTTGTGTAACTCTGTCTGACTCTTCGAAGCCAGTGCACTCCACTGCCGGACTGGTGAATATCAAGACCTAGTATGCGGACCTCCGAAGCCCCAGGAATGGTCACTGCACCTAGTGTAAATGTAAAGGGGAACTTCTTGATTTTTCTGCGTTCTGCTTTGTTAGCTACCTGAACATAGCTTGATTTTTGGGCAGACATGTCTAACCCTGCGTTCCGAGTGTAGCTTTGAAGAACATCAAGGGCTTTTTGAAGATGTGCTTATCTTGAGACGTCTTTATGCACAGACCATAAATTCACATGATCAGCGTATATCAGGAATCTCACATCTGGAACTCGGTGTAGTTGCCATGCTAGAGGTATTAAAGCAATGTTGAACAGGCGAGGAGCCAAAACGGATCCTTGCGGGACACCTCTGTTGGACATGAAGCAACCTTCAGGCTTTCCATCTACTCTTATCACAAATGTGCGGTTGTGAAGAAAAGAGTAAATAAATCTTACTACCTGCAGTGTAAATCCGAGTTCGATGAGGTTTGATAAAATGACGTCATGGTTTATGTTGTCGTAAGCTTTCGTTACGTCCGTTGTTATTACAGCACGTACTGCGTGGCTGTGTGGAGAAACTTGTAAAATGCATCCGACAAGATAGAAAGACTGTGCTCAGTCCCCAAATGAGAACGGAACCCTATTTGAGCCAGATGGTACTTCTTGTGTCGTTAGAGCCACCAGGAAACAGGTGTGGCCAGCATCTTTTCAGCAAGCTTGCACACAGTAGCAGTCAATGAAATTGAGCATAAGGATTGCAGGCTATTTGGAGACTTTCCGGGTTTTGGAATTGGGACGAACACTGAGTGTTTTCAATCAGATGGGAGGTCCCCAGTTTTCCATACTTTATTAATAGCCTGCAGAAGCGCATCGAGTACTTCACCTTCCATGTTCTTGAAAACTTCGTATAGAATACCGTCTGGAACAGGTGGTGTTCCTTGGTGAGAAGTTTCAATCGCCGCTATTAGGTCGGCCATGCCGAAAGGACTGGATGTATCGGATTTGGCACTTGGCTCAAGCTCGTCGATTTCGGGGCAGGTTATAGAAGATGCGCCAACATACTTCGGGAAAAATGCTCTTGCAGCCTGCTTTGCAAATTTTTGTGGCGTACTTTGCATCGATAACCCAACGCTCGCTGCAGGGTCAGGTGCCTCGTAACCGCGTTCCATTGATCGGAACGTACACCAAAGGGCTCTGTTTCCCATGCCAGATCCAAGTTTTTCACACCACTCATGCCGCCGATGTCGAGAAAGCTGCTTTTCACGCCGACGCGCCTTTGCTGCTATACGGTTAGCATGTGCACGGCTACCTGGTCCACCTGGATTCCTCGACGCACGCAGCTCCGCCTGACGTCGCCTCGCCCAGAGTCGCAAAAAGAGCGAGGTCCGGTTGAGGTTGTTCTTCGTCAACAGTGGTGTATTCTCGTGAATTCCTAAAGCAAGTCCACGTTGCTTAATTTCTAATCTTGCTTGAACCTCTGATATCACGCACAAGACCGCATTGCCGAAAGTCAAACCAGTAACCATGACACCTTTCCAATTTTTTTTCACAACATCGCACCTATTGTAATTCCACCACGCCTATAGTTTTCATCAGCACTGCATTCCTGTTTCCTTTAGTAGTTACGTATAGTTCGTGTTCCGTTAGGGACTCGGTCCCATTGCTTATACATACGCCCAGATGTTTGCATTCATTATATCTAGCGTGACCTCCAGTATCCTAAGCTCATTACCTTCGTTATCATTAAAAATCAAGACTCCTGATTTTTCCTTTCTGAATCTCAAATCTAACTTATCTCCCTCCTTACCGCAAATGTCTATCAATCTCTGCAAATCTTCCTTGCCATTAGCACTATATCATCTGCGTACATCAATGCTGGTAGTTCCTGTTCAATGACTTTTTTTTTTCACGAAAGAGAGGCTGGAGTGAAGTCCACTCCCCTCTAATATGGCCTCTAACCCTTGTAGGTACATCATTCGTGACAAACAAGGGTGATAGAGGACACCCCTGCCTAAGCCCCCTTTTATCTTTGTGGGCTCGGATACCTGATTTTTCCTAATTAATAACTACCTGGTTGAGCTTAGTGACTCCATCCTACACATCTAGTGTGTCCAGTATTTCCCACAAGCTCTCTTGAACCACGCTATCGTGCGCACCCTTTATATCCGAAAATGCTAGCCACAGGGGCTTGTGTTCCGTTTCTGCTATTTCGATGCGCTGCGTCAGTGAGAACAGATTGCCTTCCAACCTCTTTTGTTCCCGAAACCCATTTTGCAGTTCCCCTAGCACCGTCTCATCCTATATCCACGTCTACAGTTTTTCCTTTATAATCCGCATCACCAGCCTGTAAAACCACTGATGTCACTGTTATAGGACGATAGTTGTTTATGTCAGCTTTGTCCCTTTTACCTTATATAGTTCAAAACTACCTGCGCTCAACAATGGGACAGGCCAGACTTAACCATATCGCCTTGCTCCACCGCTACAAAGAGCAAGCTAGGTAAGCGTATCTTGTGACCAACGAGTTCATTCACCAAACTGCAGTTAGTGAAAATGCGCTTAACATTGAAATCTAAGACTACCGTACTCAGGAATACGCTCTAAAATATCATCCGTTGACGAAGTTTGTTATTTTCTCAGCCACGCGTATCTGTTTTTATTTATTTGTTTAAAATGACTGGTATTTATGCAAAAGCTTTAACAGTTTTCTAATGTATACAGCATTAAAGATACATCGAAGAAATGTAATAATTTTCTTATTTATGCGTTCTCAGAGTGTATACATAAAACCAATGTGAAGTCTGAAGTGCAAGATGGTCTTGGATCGCTAGCCCCGGTTCTCTGTTGTTGGCTACGAATTCAACTATTTATACGTATACAAGCTGTAATTTACATCTCTTGTCCGAAGCATTTTTTGACATATCATTCGTAGGAGTTCTTAGTTGAATTTCACCGCGAAGGCCTGAAATTATCTGTTGATATTATGCACGCGTTGGCATAGATAAGACATGTTTATTGTTTCCTTTTCTTTGTTTGTGAGTGATTTTGTGAGTGGTCGCGTTAGGAAAGTGTAAAAAAAACTGCAATGTACGATGACAAAAACGAGCAGATACATTTTGAGTCCTCGTATGTTTGCTCTACTTTTTTTAATGTAAGCGTTTTGTAACCGTTGCATTGATAATTGCTGAGCGCGTTCTTTACGTATGCCTGTTCGTTATAAATTTATAATGCAAAATTGAAAAAAAAATATTAAAAACTTCTGATTACGAACACTACTTTCAAAATGAACACGTGTGGCACACTAGCGTATGCGGTCCAGAAGTAAAATACATTTTACTCGTTAAAATGGCCAGCAAAAATTTGGCTCCTTCGCGCGAAAGATAAGAATATTTCTTGAACACCGCTTGGTGCTAAATGTTTCACTGGGCACATTTATGCAACAGATTTTCGCCTCCGTACTGCCCATTAAAAGAAAAACAAATCGACTCGTTTGTGTGTGTGTGTGTGTGTGTGTGTGTGTGTGTGTGTGTGTGTGTGTGTGTGTGCGTGCGTGCGCACGCGCTATTGGTACAGTCATGCTATAATTTTGGAAAAATGCGACCAGTTAAACAGGTATTCCAAGACATTTCTACTGGATGAGCCAAACCGTGTACGTTCATTTTTCGTAGATTCGCAGGACGTCTTATTTGGAGACACCCCGTACAGTTAGCCGACACAATGTAAAAGGCCTTCACTACTGCAGGTGTCCCTTATGCTGATGATGATGATTAGTGATACCCTCTGTGTAGCAAAGTGACGTGTCATCTCTCATAGGGACCCCCGCCCTCCCGCTTCCTCCCCTCCCTTAGCCGCTTCGAGCCGCACTCTAGGTCTGCCCCCCCCCCCCCCCCCCCCCCCGCCTCGGAAAAATAAGAAGCGCACGCCACTGGGTGCAACATATTTTGCAGTGTAATGCGCGGGAACGCGCACGCACACACACACACACACACACACACACACACACACACACACACACACACACACACGCACGCACGCACACACACACGCACACACACACAGCGCGCGACACCGGATGAGATTCTATCAACTAGCTCGAATTTCGGAGGGAAACCCGCGTCTATAGTTCTGAGGGAAACCCGCGTCTATAAACCCGCGTCTATGTCTGTCGCGAGCGATAGAAACCGACGCTCGGCGGGCGCCTCGCGCCTTCGCACGAGGAACGCATAGATCGGCGCCGATCTCGCGCGCGCTCGGGAAGTCTCGAACAAAGGGTCCAGCGATCTGTTCCCGACATTCGCAGTGAGTAAACGTTATTTTTACGCCGCCTAATGCACACAGACCGGACCGCCAAAATGCCACGTAATAGCAGTACGAGCGGGGAGCTCCGTGGATTCAGTCGGCCGCCGTGTAATGGCCCGATTTGCTCAGACGCCGGTGCCAGCAGCGATGCCCCAGAGCCACAATATGCAGCCACGTCTGGAGAGTCGTCGCCCTCGTCATGCTCGGCCACATCTAGTACTTCGCTGCCTCAGCCATCAGGCGAATTCACGACAGCCAACTTGACGGAAGCGACGGTGGTGCAGACAGGCAGCCTTGTGTTTGGGGAGCGGCAGCGCAAGTGGGGTCGTCCGCTGGGTAGCACCGAGGAGTCCAAAGCCCAGAGGCCTGCACAGCAGATTGCAGCTGCCCAGCAAGCAGCAGCTGCTCAGCAGCTTCAGCAGTCGCCACAGCAACAGCAACCTCTGCGTCTGCTGCAGGCCAATACCGAAGGATTTTCTGCCCCACCATCATCACGGCCCAATAGCAACCCATTATCAAGTTTCAGCAGTACCTTTGCCAACCTAGTACGCAGCAGTCGCCATGGCGAGAAGAGGACAAAGGCCAAACGGCCCTCTCCATCCCAGGGTGGCAGCCGCAGGACATCGCCGTCGAGCAGTGGAGAGCGTGAGACCACCAAAAATGGCAGCGCAGGCGCCAATAGCAAGAGCAGCGCCGCCGTGTTCCCGAGGCTTCGCAAGAAGGCGATGCTGTCGCCCTCTGCCCAACCGGCGGCCGCCGACGGAGCCACAAACGGCCTGCCCCTGGTGTTGGGAAGTCAGAATATTGACCACACATATTACAGAGAGCTGACCCCGGTTTGGGAAGAAGAAAGCCAATCTGCATCAGCTCATTCTGTGCTTAGGCAGCCTGCATTCGTCGATTTTGACGATAACACCTTGGATGGTTGTGAATTTAGACGCAAGACGCTGCAGGCTTCTGAGGACCATGGGGAAAAAAGTGGGGGAGTATCATCGCCCCAAGAAGGCTGGGCATCAACGTGTCAAGTAGGGTCACCTCGCATGAACTTGCCTTGGAGTCCCACATGGCCCGAATTGGCAGCTACACAAAGCTTGATTCTGCAGAACTTGGAGCACCTGCTTGGAGACCCACGAGCAGCTGCTGATCCCACAGACCCTGGAGCAGCTGGCTTTCTGATGAGGCAGACCCAGAACGTTAACATTTCATCATTGTTGTCGTGTCTCCATGAGCTGCGCTCGGAGAACATAAAGTTGGAGGCTCGAATCAGTTACCTGCAAGCACGCCGGGACCAACTGCTGGCTGTCAACGCACAACTGATGGGCCCCCTCCGAGAAGCACCCATGTCCAACTCTCCCATGCCTCTCGTGTCCCATGCTTCTGCTTCAGATGTGAATGCGGCAGTAGCTGTGAACTTCAGCACGAGGACAAACTTTCCCACATCTTTTGCAAGCTCTTCTACAGACAAGAACCCTGATGTGGCACTGGGGATCCCCCTTGGCTTTCCCTCCTCGGCCCAGCCAGCCACTGACCACCAGCCACACCAGGGAAATGAGTTGAGTGCAACACCACAGCACGGCTTGTCTGGCCAGACAGCGATGGGGCACCAAGAAGGAGTTCGCTCTGCTGAACACTCATTGCATCGAGTCTCCACTCTGTCAATCTCTCGCCAGTCGAGCTATAACTAGAAGCCACCTGCACGGATCACCTAAGCGCTGTCTGCACAGGAAACATTCTCATGATGTTGCGCATCAAGGAAGATGATAATATTTATTGACAACTCTGTGATAACTCTAACTAATGGACTATACTGGATGATGGCAATTTATATGGACATGCAGTAGAAACACAAAGCAAGCAGTCTCATCATGACAACTGCATTGAAATTCAAAGCGACAGCAAGCTAGTGCATTACACAGTTTGTTTGTTCTCAGGGAGTCTCCGAAAAGATTTTTATGCCCTGAGTGTGCCTCAAGGTTTTGTACTTTACCTCTAGCACCAGAGCATGCATGATGAGAATATTATATTGACAAGGCAGATGGATTTAAACTACCCTTCTAAAGGTGTTTAGAAGCTTGCTTCAAAAGATGAGGAGTCATTTAATTGTGTTAATTTTTTAGAAAGAGTCAGCTGGAAGCTGAAAGCTTGCCCTGCTTTTTTGTTCCTTTTTGACAGGGAGCTGATAACATTTATTGACAACTCTGTGATAACTACATCTAATAGACTATACTGAATGATGGCAATTTATATGGACATGCAGTAGAAACACAAAGCAAGCAGTCTCATCATGACAACTGCCTAAAGAAGTGGAGTGCAATGAGCATAGACGAAAATTAATAACAAACATAAATTCTACACGCTTACACGCTCCACTTCTTTGCTAAAGCAAGAAACATGAACTGAAACGTATGAACGGTAAGACACAAGCTCCTGAAACGAAAGTGATGCCAGTAGATTAATATTTTGTTTAGTGCATTATATGCACACTAATTCATTATAAAATAATTAATGAACATCCCTTGAAACAGGCATTGAGAAGCACTCGTTCCACAGTGTTGGCTGCAATTATGTGCAGTTTTGTAAGGCATCAATAAAGTGTACTCAGGAGTCGAACACATTGCATACAATTCATTTCTTCTTACATTTGTGGGCTGTTTGGTAACACTTTTCCTTGTGAAAAAAAATCATTGTTATGGCTGGTTGCTTATCCTTTAATTTGTCACTCTGGGCCCGGCAGTGCAACAGGCACGAAGTATATGTAGAATCACATCCAGCACACCATTTCATTTATGTATATATGTTGTCAGTCATCTCTTTATTTCATAGATGGACGTTTTAACATGTTCGCTAATGCTCGCCAGTCTTGGCTGTATTGGGTTTCAGAGCGTGAGGAGTAGCACCACTGAGTACGTACCTATGGCCGTAGGTTACACAGCAAATGTTTAAATAGCAGTTTCAATGGTGTCAGTGGAAGAGTTTTAGGGTAGTGCTTTGAAATTGAAATATAGCATTAAAATGTGCATTTAGAGCACTCTTTTCTCACTGACTGGGGCATCTAAAACAGCTTAGTGGAACAACTGCATGTCATGTGGATATGGAACCAAGCTTCAACAGCCAGCTCCAGGATCACTTTAACCACTTGGCAATTCACATTACAAGAAAACAAGCTGGCTAAGTTTTTTTCCTCATCACCATACCGATATTTTTTCTGTTAGGCTCTCAAAGTACGCAACAATATTTCTGGCATAATAATTTGCTGTCATGTTAGCATTGCATAAGTTCTTGTATAAAAACAAGTAAAATCACAGATTCTTCCAGACTAGTTTTAAAATATGGTACATAGATCTTAACTAGCACAATTACCTTGGTACAGCTTTAGAACAGGGAAACCAAGGTCTAGCATTTACACTTGGTGCTACTGCACAACAGTCAAACGCTGACCTCTTCATTACACATTGTTATCATCGGCACCTTAGGTCTGTGCGTTAGATCTGTGCTTTTGTCATTAACAGTATCTTATAAATAATTGCCAGTGTCCCGAACTTCATTTGTTATGACATAATGCAAGGAGCATAGGCAATAAAATTTACAAACTAGAACATCTGTTAATTTTGTACGACCCGCATATCGCAGTTATTGCATAAACATTGTTACATCACGGTATTCATGATGATGAAGTTGTTCCGCACGGGTATAATATTTTAAGACGTGATAGGGGTAGCAGAGGTGGTGGTATTGCTGAAGGATTCTGTTAATGTGTTTCTTGAAAAGCAAATCGATGCACATGAAAGGTTACTTTTGAAAGTATCGACACATGGTATCTCATATATCCTTTGTTCTGTCTACCGTACACCTGATGCGCCGGATTCTTTATATAAAACCTTTATGATCATCTGCTAAAGGTATGCGAAAAAGCATAATCTTAACAGGCGACTTTATTTACCAAATTTTACCTGGAACTCTTTTTTGTATGGTGTTTCACCTTCTTGCTATTCAACATTAGACTTTATGTGCACACATAACTTAGAACAAGTAAGAAACCCAACTCGTGACAGTTCAATTTCGGACCTGTTATTTACTTCAGAAAGGTTTAATGGAGCAAGTGTTACAGTGGAATCCGGAATATCCGATCATCGATTAATATTGTTCTCGTGTACTGTTTCCCATTACCAGAGATGTGGTCCTCCCAAGCCCACACCTGTAAGGGCTTTAGGAAGGCAAACGATGTTGCAGTGATTGAATACTTGGAGACACATTGACACTAACCTAAAGAATGTTGAAGCATCAAGGCAGTGGTTCTGAGCGGTGGTCAATCATTGTATTGAAAGTTGCATTCCTGTACAGAAAATTTACTGGGAGTGTGCCAATCTGTGAAATAATCGTGAGATAATCCATCTAAAGCGTAGAATAAAAAGGCTTAAAAAAAACTCATTTACCTGAGTTTGTTGAACTAAAAAGAAATCTCTCAACGAAGTTGATTATAGCCAGGCAAAACCTATTCAGCAAACAACTTGCTGAATTCGTTAAATCTGAACTAAAAAAATTTGTGGCATCACTTTAGTGTAAGAAATGAAGATATTGACAATATAAAAGTGAATAATGATGTTATAACGGAACCCAGGGCCATCTGCAATGCCTTTAATAATACTTTCAGTCAGTTTTATCTGAGCCTGATAAAAATGAACCTGCATACTGGGCGTTTTTCTCACACAGAGTGTGATTTCATATAAACGCGAAAAGGTGGAATGAACATGCTGCTTGTGTTGAGTGATAAGAAATCAGTGGGGCCCGATGTAATTCCCTATGCTTTTCTAAGACGGTATGCTGAAAAGCTATCACAGCCACTGGCTAAACTTTTTAGCCAGTCTATTACTACTTATGAGGTTCCTGCTGATTGGCTTAAAGCTAGGGTAGTCCCTATACCCAAAAAAGGAGATCGGTCGCTGGTCTCGAACTACAGACCGATTTCTATAATCTGTTCCTGCTGTAAACTGCTTAAACATGTGGTAGATAAATATATAGCAATTTTTTTAACACAGAAAAAAATTCTAACTAGCCATCAACATGGTTTGCATAAAGGATTATCCACAATCGCTCAGCTTACCACAACTGTGCATGAGTTTTTGAGTGTTTTGGACTTAGCAGGACAAGCAGATGTGCTCTTTTTAGATTTCTGAAAGGCATTCGATAAAGTGCCCCATGGAAAATGGTTGTATAAACTAGAGTAAATAAGGCTACTAAGGTTTCTTGTCCAATGAATAACTATGTACAGTTTGTCGCCATAGAGAACTCAGAATCCACAGTGCTCCATGTTAGCGCTAGTGTTCCCCAGGGAAGTGCCCTGGGCCCACTGTTATTCCTAATCTATGTGAATGACTTGGTCGATGTTATGCTCCAGGATGTAAGCATTCGATTATTCACAGACGACTGCATTTTGTTAAAAAAATATATAATCTACAGCTGATCAAAATGTATTGCACAGCTTTTATGACCATTAATGACTGGTGTAGTGGAATATTTATTCATTTTATTTATTTATTAAGTACCTGCTTCGCCATAAGGCATTACAGGAGGGAGGGTACAGTACATACAATCAAACACAGAAAGAACATTCATAAAGCATGGAAAAAATGATCACTTGAATCAATACAGACTATTTCCGGTGGCAGAGTGTTCCATTCTCTTATAGTGTGGACAAAGAAAGAGTAGCGAAAAAGTGTCACCCCCAAAAGAAATCTCGCGTATTTTCAAGTGATGATCACGTCTTTGGGAAACATAGTTGGGTCGTTGAAAATACAATTGCCTGATGATCCCTGTTCTTGAATGATAAATGCTATGAAAGAATTTTAATCTGAGGTTTCGACGACGGTTTTCAAGAAGATCCCAATTTAATGTTTTTCTGCTCTCTCTCTCATACTAAGCAACCTGTTGTAATTTCCAAGGACAAATCGAATTGCTCTGCACTTTTTCAAGTTTATCTGTAAGTTCCTTAGTATATGGGTCCCAGCAGATGCACACATACTCCAGTATACTGCGGACGTGTGTAAAATACAGGTGCTCACTAAGTTTTTGTGGTAATCTACTGAAGTTACATTTCAGAAAACTTAATGTTCCTACCACCTTGTTCCTAACGTAAGTGACATGTTTATTCCACCTCAAATCAGCAGTAAAAAATACGCCTAGATATTTATATTCCGTGACATGTTGGAGATTAGCGTTATTGATCGTGTAATGATTTCTACAGTGTGAGAGTTTTCTGGTAAACGTGATGGGGACGCTTTTTTTCACATTCAACAACATTTTCAATTTATCAGACCATGTGTCAAATCTAAATCGTTTTGCAGTGCTTGTTTGTCAAGATCGCTATTGATAGCCCTATATACTATACAGTCATCTGCAAACATTCTAAATGATGATGTGATACCAAAAGTGATGTCATTTATGAGTAACAAAAATAAAGGCAGACCTAAGACTGATTGATCCCTGTGGTACACCAGAGGTCATAGCAACATATGTAGAGGAACAACTGTTAAGATCCACAGACATTTGCCTTGAGCGAAGATACTCAGCTATCCAAGCAATAACCCTATCATCTCATTTGTAATATCGAAGTTTAGCGATCAAGAGACTATGAGTAACGATGTCAAAAGCTGTTCTGAAATCCAGAAATATACAGTCAACACTTTGC